TTTGACGGCATTTATGAAACCCGATAAAATCACACCGCCGGTTCCTTGGATATCATCATTAAAACAAAATGTGTTTTCACGATATTTTTCTAATAAACCAAATGCCTACAATAAATAACAAGAAAAATGCTTATTATTATTATTATTATCATTATTACTACTACTATTATTATGGATTAATGACACCTAATATATTTATATTCTGTAATATGTGAGAGATATACTAACATGTTCTGAAGAGAAGTCTTCGAATTGAATTAAAAGTTTTGGATATACTTCAATCAAAGATTTGACAACAGCATCCATAAAAGAATAAAACTATTTGATTTGTTTTTTTTTAAAAAAAAATATTATTGATATTATTATTTAGCAAATTATTAAAGCTAACAATCAATATATACATAATCACTCGCTCACAAAATAACAAATATATATATATATACCTCGGTGTCAGATACTCTTTTTTGTTTAAGCCCAAGGTAAAATTCATCGTTTAAAAACTTTTCATTATTTGTACCAAGATCAACAGTGATAGGCAAAGTACGACGAGGATCAATTCCAGCAGCAGCAACATATAATTGCAACTTTCCAACCGGAATACCCATGCCATTTACACCTAAATCACCCAAACCCAAAATTCTAGAACCATCAGTGATGACAGTAATTTGTGGAGTTAATGATTTGTCAAATTGATATGGTTGAAAATTTTTTATGATTTCTGTTAAATTGGATTTGTCTTTGAGTGAAAGGAAAAGACCGTCTGGTACACCAGGTGGTGCAAGGAATGGGTAAATATTTGAGTATTCTAAACATGCGGTTCCAACAGTTGGAGTATATACTAACGGTGTGATTTCCTAGATGGTTTTGGTTTTAGAAGAAAAATTTTTTAAAAAATTTATAATTAATACAAAATAAAGTATAATCAAGAGATCTCCAACACCTTTCTATATATGTCTAATTATATTATTACCTCTAATTCTTCCATCAAGATACGGTAAAATAATCTAACATTAGTGTTTCTTAACCAAGCAAGGAACGTGTATTTTTCCAATTCAGTTGATTTAGACCGCAATTGAATCAATGCACGTTTCTTCTGTTGTTCAATTGATTCAACGCCATATGGACTAAGACCAGTAATCTTCAAAGAATTACGTGTTTGATGAGATGTGGAAGTTCCTTTATTAATTTGGAAATAGATAAAGATTTAATTTAGCATTTATTTTTGGAGAAAGGGTATAATGTTGGATGTAAGTTGAAAAATAATTCGAGATGTATGGAAGAAGGAATTTAATTATAAAAATTATTATTAAAAATATACACAATTTTAAAATTTATTTACCTTGATTAAGATAAGGAGATTTAGAGATACATTGAACGATTTTACTATTACTATTACCATTTACACTTGGGCCACGCATTTTTCAAAATGGTTAATATTATTTTAAATTTATTATAATTTTTGAAAACAATCTTTTTCAAAGATGATGATTACACAAAATCGGTTCAATTGGAGTATTACTATTGCTATTGCTATTGTTTAACAGGATCAGAGTTGGTATTTGTTGTTATAGTATTTATATTATTGATTTTTGAGAAATGAAGTTTTTTGTAAAGAAAGAAAGAAAATTTTTCGCTTATATAATGATGAAATTTGTTGTGAAACCATGGTGATTTTTTACTTTATCAAGTTCCTCTTTACTAAAATTGTTAATTCAATTAATTATTTTGTTTGATATGTACGAAATTAATTATGAAACGCTAAAGTGTATAGTAGTAGTGGAAAAAGAAAATTAATCGTGTTTATAAACATATCCTGATTTGATGATATAATTATGATGATTGAATAAAAATATAGTTAAAGAGACTAACTAATTTACTAATTAAAAAAAATATTGTATTAGTATTATAAATATTAGTAGTTCCGGTATTTTCCGGTTTTTTCCTGATTATTATTATTTACTATTATAAAAATGCAAGATTCATCTTTGATCAAGCGACTTGGCATTCTGTGTGAAATGTTTTACCCACAAAACCTTTTGACTCACCAAACAAATCAAACTGGTATATGGTATTAGCATAACAAATGTGTCACAAATACAAATTTTTAAGTAAATAAAAACATTATTATCTATCGTGGAAACTTTCTTTTTGGTCTGTGTAATTAACTGTTGTAGTAACATTTGTAATTATGATCTTCGTCATAATCTGAAGAATGTGACTATATACTTGTATAATAAGAAATAAATAATTTGAATTTTATAAATTCACAAAGTTCATAGTTATAGAATTATAGAGTCGTTATTTCGATACAAATACAGATTCGCCATTTTCTCTTGTACTTCGTTATTATCAGCAACCACCCAACTAATTATGGGTGAAACAATAACTTCTACATCATCATCCTCTTTGTTAACTCAATTAATTGCATCAAAAAGTCACCTGATTGAGTAAAGTGAGCTACCATATGTTACATTTTAGAATGCTATAATATTTACTTCTCTATTGTTTGAGATATTTTTCATGAGCTAATTATTTTATTAGTAATATGTTTTCCATAAACCCATGCATATTATTATTATCATGTAATTATGTATTCTATATCAGTAACATGTCACATGATTAGTATGCATTCCCATACAAAAATGCACTTTTTCACTGGAAGTATTAGTATGTTTCCAAATGGTTTCTGATAAATTTTCTGTCAATAATTTTCTGTAGGGATGGGTAAATAAATACATTAAACAGGGAAGAGAAATTCCAAAGGGACATTTATGTTTCAAATTGGTTTTGTGATATCAGATTCAGATAGTAATAGGTACAAAAACCCATATATTGTGATTAAGTTTTTCCCAAAACATTAGTTATTTCATTAGCTCATGTCTCCTAATTAATATTGAATGTAACTTATACACGCAGCCCAAAGTATTTTGACACTGTCATAAAGGGGGTTGCACATGTAGTAAAGGGGTGTTATATACACTTATGTTTTTAATAGTGAATGCCGTAATTAATTTCTACTTTCTACCATCAAAATCACCAAACCAATTTGGGCTGCATGTATAACTACACCTAAATCAACTATTTCTTTAGCAAGACTGGCACCAGGAAATCATTTTCCTGAATATAGAGAAATAGGATTGTATGTGAGTATTGTAAATATCAAAGGCAGGAATAAGGAATAAATGCTACGACTAATGATAATTGTTTACATGTATTTTGTACTCTATGTGATGTTGCTTTATGTTTAAGCTCAAAAAGAAATTGTATTGACCATTTAGAGTCATCAACAATTATACATATGTAAACTCGATAAGTTGGTCATGTGGGGGCGAGCTCATATGGCAACTTATCAAGTAAACTGACTTATTAAGTGACTGACTTATCGAGTTTACATATGTAGCATAACTTCTAACTGCATCTAGTCCTTCAATTGTGTTACAGCCAAAATTAAACCAATAAACTGAAAGAATGAGAAATGTTCTTTTATTTTATCAGTTTACTTTCGGTATTAACATAATTTTTAAAAAAGTTATTAGAGTTCAAAGTTGGGTATTTTATAGTATTTATTAATTGTTTGTAAATTTCAGACTAGGGATGCCTGATTCTTTTATGTAATATGTGCATCTCAATAAACCATATATTTTTATTTTCATTATTTGACTGAATTTGAACTTTAAAAATGCCTCTAGCTTCAAAACAAAAAGAAAAATCAAAAATCAATCAAGAGAATTGGTTGGAAAGTTTGGCTCAAAAAAATCAAAAATATAAGTTAATTCTGGTGTTGAAATTGATTTGAATTTATTAAAAGATGTTGAGGTAAGCAATTTTCAAACATTTATGGATAATGATATGGAAGAAATTGAGCTGCAAGAAGATGAATGGGGCGATGATGAGGACAGTGGATGGGAAAATGACTTAGATTTAGAACAAGAGAAAAAATGTAGAGATAGACTGATTAGTTCAAAACTTGAATTGACTTGGACTGACAATAATGAGTTGGAAAAAAAGAAAAGAGGCTTATATATGAAAGGTAAAGTTCCAAAATCAACATTTTATGATAACGGGGCCCAAATGGCTTATTTGCAAAGGCAGCAGCTAGTGCAAATAAGATTACAACCTATTTTCCAGTTCATAATAATCCATCTTCAGAAATAAATGAAAATCTTGAGTTAATAGAAAGTTCAAATGGATCTGATGATAACACTCTAGAGATTTAAAGTTATGAACATGATAACTATATTGTGCCATGGAACAACACTTAACTGATGAAACTAATTATGCTAACAAATTGAAAGCATCTGAAAGGAAAGTTTTCACGGGTTTAGTTTGGTGTTTGGATGGAACAGAAATAGAGCCAGAAGGTGTTGATCAAAATCAAATTAAAAATGACACATCGTTTACAATCTGTTTTGGTTAAAGCTATCCATGCCTTAAAAATCCCATAAAATTAATATTTGGCTTTATAAAAAGAGCAAGAGCAAACGCAGTGAGCAAATTTATTTCAAAGAAAAATAGCAGAGAAACAAAGTGGGCCAGATGAAGCAAGCGAGCATATAGATTTAGCTCACCAAGATATTGAAAATTTTAAGAGAAGAATTAGCTATTGGACAAGTGCATGCTCAGGTAACTAGTGACTGACATAAAAGACAATTAGATGGCGAGAGTGTCCAAAGAAGAAATGAATTGTTTAATCAAATTTTGGAATTAGGGTAAAGGAAACGAAGGACTGAAACAAGTTATTGGTAGCAAATGGTTGAGCAAGAAATGACAACTAAAATAAAGATAATCTAATTCAATAACTAACTACATCAGGAAATTAATTTAGCGTAAACTTGCATAAATCTTACGATGCCGACGTAATATTGTGTAAATCTTACAGTGCCGACGTAAGTTTTACACTTTTTTATTATTAAACTTACAATTGAGGCAGGAAAAATTATTTTATATTTTCCGGATGTAAATGAAAAAAACTAGGGTTGGCTCGATGAACCGCAATTGAGTCTACCATGGTTTAATCCAAAATTTAAATCATGGAACCGATAAATTTCAACGTTTAAACCAAATTTCAGCAGTTTTTTTTATAAATGATGACAGTTATTTTTCTGGCAATAATTATCTCCCTAAATTTGAAATTAATCAATTCGACCAATTAGAAAGATATTTAGCTTTACCATCAGTCAATCGGTATCTTCAGATTCATTACTTCAAGTTAAGAACTATGATTAAGGAGCAGTGGCCATCTTTGCTTGAGAATATTCTTCCTTCTTTGTAAGGCTGATAATAATGTAACTACATATACTAGCCAGCAAAATTTCATTGTATAAAAATGGGAATGGTGATAATGGTGATGATATGTTTCCGGATCAATTAATTTCTGAACATTTTCGTAACCAGCCTACCCTCCTCATATTGAAGTTCATATTATTGTGCGATTGAACACCCAGCCACCTCATTAGTAATAGTGGATATGTATCTTTTTTATTTACGTCTGCAGTATGTAACTACGGTATAATTTTTTTTTTGACATTTCGGCAAAATTTTTATTTCATGAAATAAAGGTTCTATGTAAAATTACGTTTATCTAAGATTAATTCGGAAAATTTGAAATCATTTATCCGTATTAATATATATGTCAAATATGTCTCGCAAATCCAAAAATAACAAACGCAGAACTCAAGGCAAATACACTATGAATCCTACACAGTGTTCATAATATAAAAATAAGGATAAGTATACATATGCACCGAACTGACGAAAATTTTATAACTATCATAAATAAGAATACGGAAGATGTGAAGGCGATATTTGATTATGGTGAGGTATGTAGGTATTTAGAGGTAAATAATTTCGAATATGTATGGAATTAGATCTGACTTTTTTCAAATATTTATGTAGCTTTATTAACGGAAAAAATACAAAAAGAAGTAAATATAAAATTAAATCTATTCAAAATCTATGAGGACGATACCATTGAACTTTTTTCTATTTGTCTCTTAGATGTAGATTCTGGCGCGTGATGTAGCAGAGACACATTTACAATAATAATATTCTATAAATTCATAATAGTGTTAGATTTTTTGTCACAAAGTGTCCTATTCAAAGAATGATGTCTTGCAAGTGGAATAAAGCAACAAACCCGTAAAATCAACAAAGCCTTTATAAAATTTGATAGATCATACTCCCCCATTGGATTCACTGGAATTTCAGCTGAATATAACGATGAATTTCGTCCACACTTCTTGTAAGAACCTTCAGGTGTAATTCACGTCCTATGAAAGTTTCTATCATTGAAAATGTCGGACTATATGATAAATATAAAAATTTACTGAACCTGCAACCTGAATCACAACAATTCCTTCTCTGGTTTACATTTTCTGCGAGCCCAATACAAACCATTATTTGCTTCCCGCCATAATTTTACCTTATCATTAGCATCTTTTGTGGAGTGCACAATAGTCACGAACACTCGTAATACATAAGTTCATAAACATTTCCCTTGTATTGTACTTTAGACATTATATACGGTTGTCTACCTGTTTTGTCCTCACCTTTTCTATTCTTGCTAGCAATGCTCTGGCGTTCATATCTAAAAAAATAGCTTTGAAGATATAATCTTTAAACATTGTATTGATAAATAATACAACTTACGTGCTAATAAATGAGGACTTTCTAGAAGTGATATTTAATAATTATATAGGCGGGTTTGATCGAAGCAAGTATTAGTCAAGATCTATGAAGCTTGCAAAACAAATTTTTATCAATTATTCAATAATTATATAGGCGGGTTTTATCGAAGTAAGATCTATGAAGCATGCAAAACGAATGTTTATCAATTATTCAATAATTGTGTAGGCGGGTTTGATCGAAGCAAATGTTAGTCAAGATCTATGAAGCTTGCAAAACGAATGTTTATCAATTATTCAATAATTATATAGGCGGGTTTGATTGAAACAACTGTTAAAAATACAAGTATATTACACATTACGTACATTATACGCGAATCAAAAACATACTAGTGCTAGAACCTTTTCAGTATTAGTACTAATATGTTAAAAATACCTTATATGCAGAATTAAAGCGTACCTTTTCATATTTAGTATGTTGCAAATTTCGTACCTTATATACAGAATCAAAAAAGTACCTTTTCAGTATAAATTTTTTACGTTACAAAATTTCTTTTTAGGGATAACGATTTGACGATTTTTGACGACAAATAAAATCATCCCATCATCATATTTAAAATGTATAGGCTCGATAACCAAACATGCTAGAGTAAAAATATTTACCCCAAAACTTGAAGAATAAGCTGACAGAGAGTTTTTTTAATTTTAGTATTAAAAATTTTTACAATGGTTTAAAGTTCTTATATAAAATTTCCTGTTAACATTAATATTAAGGACGATTTTGACAACAACAGATAAAACGTTTGTGTAATAATTAAAAAATCTGCATATATGATGTTATGACCAACTGCCATGGGCTCTTTCATCTCAAGTTTGTGCGTTTTGATGCGTTTGATGTGTCTATTGGCGATGATAATAATTGGTTCCAACCTTCAATCCTCCCCTCTGGGCATTGATACGTGTGACCGATAAATGCAACTGTATAGAGAAACAATATTGGCTTTATTTTCTATTTTCAGTCTTTACACAATGTTACAATGAATTGTAATACTTTAGATCTAAGAAACTCAGTTCAAGTTTACCATAAAAATAGTCGGATCACTAAATCACGTGATGGGACTCATTTAAATATTTTGGTAACCACTATTTAATTTGTTTGTGATTGACAGATTTTTTAGATTTTCAACAAAACCTCTTATTCTTTCTTTAAAAATCAGGAGAAGTTTTGAATTAAACATTTCTATACTAGAGAACAATTCAAAAAAAACAACAGCAACAATAATAAAGACAATAGAAATCATGAGTGGACTAACTAACTCGCTTAACACTGAACTCTTACAACTTTCAAATGAAGCACGGCGCAAGCATCCTGAAATTAAAGAGGTACTTATTTACTTATTACTGATTCATCTAATTATAAGAAACATAACGTTAATTGAATCTTCATAAGGCTGCAGAGAGATCACTAATTATTTTACGAACACTTAAAGAACGACCTGGCATGGATATTTCACAAGGTGATAATAATAAAAATTATACGTCATTAGTGATTATTTATCGGAAGATTCATTAAAAAACCTTGTTATTTGATTAATTTATATTGGTGTATATAAAAGAATTGGCAAAAAATACCGACTTTCTTAGACCTTTTCTTCTGGCTTGTGAAACAAAGCATGTAAAGTTAATTACTACTTCTATAGGATGCTTACACAAATTAATATCACATCGTGCAATATCAGAGGTGTGTTTATGATATTTCCAAATGATTCTTTTTTGAAATTATTCATACTTGATTGTGTGAATTTAGCTTTACATGATATGTCATGATTTAGAATATTGTACATTTATTAGTCTTCTGTTAAAACGATTCTCAAAATACTTAATGACGTAATGTCACAAGGTGTTGTTGAAATACAACTTAAGATTCTACAAACTGTTCCACCATTGTTGAGTAATTATCATACATTACATGGAGATCTGTTAGCCGAGGTAAAGCTTTAAATATTTTTAATATTAATATTAGTGTGTTTGTAACAGATATCTAGAAAATTCTTTTTTTTCCTCACATAAATATTATTTTTAATTATCATAATAACAAAAAAATTTAAGGCATTGTTACTTTGTTTTCATCTCCAAGACTCAAAAATATTAGTGGTTAATAACACAGCAGCAGCTACTTTACGTCAATTAGTAATAAATGTTTTTGACAAAGTTCAAGAAGAGGATGAGATTAATGCTAGAGATGGTAGATCTGTATAAGAGTTATTATAGTTAAAATAATAATTATTCATATATATGAAATTAAATATAAACATATATTAAATTAATATTTTTCTAATGAATGCATAATAAAATAATCATCAAGGGCCAATTAAGCCTACATCTACAACAGTGTCAATACATGGAGAAGGTGTTATAGCACTTCTTCCATGTGCAAAGGATGCATACTGTCTTTTTCAAGACTTATGTTTATTAACTAACGGTGAAAATCCCATGTACCTTAAATTATATAGTTTATCAAGGACTTTTGGTCTGGAATTAATTGAATCAATTCTAACAAATCATTCAAAGCTATTTAAATCAGTTTGTATCACATTTATTCGGGAGAAATTATATATTCTTTATTCAAAAACATTTTTACTAAAATTATAAACTTTATATAGCATCCAGAATTAACTTATTTATTGAGAGAACGTGTCTGTCCACTGATCATAAAAAATTTATCTGATAAACATGATTTTCCTCAGACAATGCGATTAATGCGAGTTGTATATATTTTAATTAGAAGATTCAATGACGTTTTGGTAAATAGTAATAATCGAAAAAAAAATTTAATAATTATTTTTTAATTTATATGTATTTATTTCTCTTTTTGTAGGTTATGGAATGTGAAATATTTTTATCTCTTTTTATAAAAATTCTTGATCCTGATAATCCATTGTGGCAACGTGTTATTTCAATGGAAATTTTTCGTGGCATATGTGTAGATGGTGAATTATTGCGTTCAATATATCGTAATTATGATAAGAGTAGTCATTCAACAAATGTATTTCATGATATGATTAATTCTTTTGGAAAACTGGCTGCTGAAAAACCTCAAACTTTGAGCACCGGGATACATTCATTTATAGGTAATTTACATCAAGGTAGAGAAAGCATAGATATTACTGGAATGGCAACTGCTGCAATAGGAAATTCTGTTCATGGTGAATATCCTTCTATGACTGTTGTAAATTCAACAATGAAAGTACAATGGTATGATGAAATTGAAAATTAATGGTGAAACAAAAATAATATACACCAGTTTTTTATTTTTGTATATTAATGTCTTTTTTTTTTTAAACAAACTATAGTATTGATCAATTGGATAAAATAGATCCACCTCAGATTCCTGACACATATCAACATTTTCTTGCACTTGTGTGTCTCAATTCTATAGCAGATGGTCTTCATAATTTTGTTTTTACGATATTTTCAGAAGTTCTCCAAAAACAACCAGATAAAGTATTGTTAGAACGTCAACTTTCTACATCAACTATTTCAGGGAATTCTACCCATTCTCAAGATTCTTCTATAAGAACACATGCAAGTCAACAACACGCGACTTTTAGTGCAACTACTTTGAAACAATTGGAGTCACATGCGTTATATAACGAAGTTCTCCTGGTCAAAGAGATAGCAAATACAGCATGGCCCGGTTTATTGGCTACGCAATCTTTCTTCCTTACAATAAATATTGACGATGAATTATTTCAAGGTGTTTTGCGAGCTTATCAGAATTTTACTATTGTATGTGGCATTCTGCAACTTACAACTCCTCGTGATGCTTTTTTAACCAGTTTGTGTAAAGGTGCTGTACCGCCTAATATAATCTCTGCTTTTTTGGCAGAAAGCAAAGCGATTCATACTGCTGGAACTACGACCAATCACGACAGCTCTTTTGGTGTTACATTATCAGATAGAAATTTATCATGTTTAAAAATACTTTTGAACATTGCACAATATCTCGGTGGAGTTTTGGGTGATTCATGGTATTTAGTGTTAGAAGTCTTGCATTTAGCTGATTTGATATTATTTCCAAAACATGGAAGAAGTGGATCCAGAAGTACTAGAAGATTAGGTTCTCAGAACACAGCATCATCATCTACAACTTCATTGGCCAATTCTTTAACACCTAGAAGTTCTTCATCATCTATTCATCAAACAACATCAACGGCACAAAATATAAAGCGAAATTCTACCGTTATCACATCCTCTCAAGATGCATCATCATTATCTAATAATCACTCTAACCAACTTTCAGCAATTGAAAATGATTTAAATATTTTATTGACACAGATTAAAAAATTATTTGATAATTGCAGGTTCCTTGAAGATGATGCATTGAAAGCTTTCACTAGATCTCTATGTAAGCTCAGTTTTGATACAATTGGAATACCATTTGATGGTAAAATTTTTTCATCGATATCATCGTCATCAGAAAATAAGACACCAAAATCAACTACACTTGGAATTTTAAAGGGGAATGTAAGGATTCTTCTATTAATCTTTGATATGATATTATTTATTATTTATTTTTTCTTTATTATTGTTATTTACAGAGGTCAGATGAAAGATCATTTGCAATCGATAAATTACGTTCAGTAGCACTATTAAATATAAATAGAGTAATTGTTCAGGAGCCTTCTCTTATATGGGACCTAATTATTTCACATCTAATCATCATAGCAAATTATATTTCAACTCCACAGCTAATCCGTTTGCAAGCTTGTGAAACTTTAGCAGACATTGTTATTTCATCAATGAATTATGCAGAATCTGTACAAATGGAAAATGATGAGCGAATTCAAATGCAATTACTTCTTGCCATTAATCAATTAGTTAATAATTTAGAAAGAAATCCTCAAACAAATAATAAAGGATTTTACATTGAAGTTCAAAAAATGGGTTTGGAAACATTAAATAAATTATTGCAGAATTCAGGACATTCATTCACTTACGGATGGGGAATGATTTTTGATATGATTAAAAGTGTATGTACAATTAATTTAACTCCATTAGAAAATGACGAAGATGAAAGCTGCACAGCCAGTTTAGATAACATTACCATGGCAGATAACTCAGCCCTTGGTATTTCTAATGTCAAATCATCTGGTTTGATTCGTGTGGCATTTCCTTGTTTGCAGCTAATTTGTTCGGACTTTTTATCGTTGCTTTCACCCGAGTGTTTGAAGCAATGTATAAATACATTAGGCGCATTTGGTTTACAGGTGGATGATTTAAATATTAGCTTAACAGCCGTGACATTATTATGGAACATTTCTGACTTTATACAGACCAAAAAATCAGAACTGCTAAAAACCCAAGAAGATCAAGATGAATGTTTTGGAAAAATTGAAAATGAAAATATTGAACAGATAATAGAAAATATCATTCAAGGGGAGCTGAGTAAAAATACTATGAATGCTCTTTGGATGTTATTATTGTTACGACTTGCAAAGATTTGCTCGGATGTTCGATTTGAAGTAAGGAACGGTGCAAATCAAACTTTATTCCGTACTATAGATATGAATGGGTCCTTATTAGGGACTCAGATATGGCGTGCGTGTATTTGGCAAGTTTTGTTTCCTTTGTTAAATTCGGTTAAACATGCATCTGAAAAAGCTGTTAAAGTCATGAATCAACAAAATCATGATGCTTTGAATGATAAACTTTCACCATCACAAAAAGAATTTACTGGTTTTATGATACATCATTCCCGTAATACTGCAGATAAACAATGGGATGAAACAAAAGTTCTGGTATTAAGTGGTATATCTGGTATTTTTAAAAACTTTATACATATTCTGGTAAATTTAGATGATTTTAATCAAGCTTGGAGTTTTTTCCTTTCGCATTTACAAGATTCTTGTCTACATTTTAGTCATGAAGTAGCCATTTCGGCTATTAAATCATTACACACTATGATTCAATTTACAAATGATGATGTTCATAATGGTGAATTGAAAGAAATAATTTTTCCATTGTGGCAAACTGCATGGGAAACATGGGAAAGAATTGGTTTAGCTATTATCACAAACTCAAACCACGATAGTAACAAGAAAAAAATAGAAACTGTTGAAACATCATCCAAAGTAGTCTCGTCAAAATTCGACCAAGATACCCTCACGGCATTTATTTTGACTTTTATCGATTTATACAATGTGATTCGGACTGATTTTGAGATTAGTAAAATAAAAAGATTATTAGAAATCACTTATGGGATTTTGACTTACCCCTATAGTCCTTCATACAGACCTGATTATGATTATCTAACTCCTTTGCAAGAAGCAGTTTTGGAAGTAATCAATAAATTAGATCTAAATGAATCAGGTGCTCCTGCAGCAGTTTTAAGTAGTTTAGCAGATTATGCGACATTGGCATTTTTGGGAAAATATAAAGAAGAAAATGGTCATAATAAAAATATTAAAGAGGATATTGGATCTTTTGTACAAACCACCACTGTTATTAATACTAATACTACTTCTGCTATCACCAACAGCAATACTACTTCATTTAAAGAAGGAATGTTTTCCAAAAAATCTTATGAAACAATTACTTATATTGTATTTTCTAAAACTGTGATGCGTACTATTAAAGTTCTGTTCAATAAATTTAATAATGATAAAGGAATATATTCAGAAGGAGTATTTGCAAAAATTATTTGGGTATGAATTGACCATTTTTTCTTTTGAATTTTATAATAACCCCATATATTTCCAAGGTAAAATAAAGTAATAATAATGATAATAAAATTAAAATTTAGGCATATGGTATTCCAATGAAATTAAAATATAAATGTCCACCTTCTGGTAAAAATGTCGAGGATATTGAACTTTGGAAAATTGCTACAGATGTATTTTTAGAAATAGTTAAAACCGGATTGGTCATATTAAAAATCCATGAAAATGGTGATTGATGATTTATTTACTTTATTTATTTATTAAATCAAAAAAAAAAGTATATAAATATTAATTTGTTTTTTTTTTTTTTTTTTTTGCAGAAATTGAGAAAGAATGTTTTGTTAATATATGGAAACAATTGGTTGACGTTCTTCATGATGCATTATTAACAAATAGGTGTATATACACATTATTGATGACTTCAAAATTAATTTACCAAAGAATAATTACTAAAATTAACATATAAATATATCATATAGTAAAATACCAGATTCATTGAAACTTGAACAACAAGATATAGACGAAGCGTTTGATATGAAGTTTCTATTTAAACTACATTCTGAAGTAATAATTCATATTGGTCATCCATATGTACCGCAAGAACTAATCCAAAGTATGGTAGAAACTTTGAAAGAAGGCTCAAAACTTTATGAAACTTTTATAGAAGAAAGGCAAAATAATATCGATGGAGAATTAAATAAGAACAATTTATTATTATCATCAAATGAGTTATTCCCATTAACAATTCAAAATAAAAAATTATCTGATAAAGTTGAAGGTACAACTGCAAGAATTATTCCTGTAGTAAGAGAAAAATTCGCATATGCCTGTCTACAATGTTTATTTGATTTATGTTCTGAACAAAATGAAGAAGGTAAAGAATTGAAATAATTTTCATATGTATATAATTATTTCATTTAATAATTATTACAAATAAAATATAGACGAAGGTGATATAGGACATCGTATTGCACAAGTTGTTGCACCAATACTTTTAGAACGATGTGCATCGGTAATAAGAAACTATACAGCTGATCAACCATTGCATGGAAAATATCCGTTTCCAAGGTTAATAGTTGGGCATTTTCTTTTTATATCTAACTATATAAAATTTTTGTTTTCTTCGGTTTGGTTAATATTACAACATTTATTTTATTTATATCCGGTTATTTGTGAAGCTATTTCGATTCCTGATGAAAAGATAACTGCTTTATTAAAAGAATGTTTAAAGAAAGTTGGTAATGAATTAGGAATATGTTAGATTTATTATAATTAATTTAAAATTTTGGGTGGGTTTTTTATTGTGTATTTTTAATATTATTATTATTAATTAAAAAACGAATATTATAAAGTATCATGAAGAAATATCGTTTAATGGGAAAAACTATTTCAAAGAATAGAAATTTTTTAATATTTGTATAGAAAAAAATAAATAAATGAATTATAGTTTCTAAATATTCAATCTTTAAGCATGTAAAGTCTCACAGAAATTAGAAATTTAGGCTCCTAGTGACGAAACTTAAAATTGCCTAAACTGTGGGCGAAACTCCTAAGCTATAGGTGAAAATTTTAAACTGTGATTAAATCGTTAAACGTACGAGCAGAGATTTTTATAAAACGGATTTATGGTCTCTTTTGCTTTAATAATATCCGTATTTTAATATTTTATATTCGCATTATCTTACATTTAATATTTTATTTATTTATTTTACAAAAATAATTAAGGATTATTGTAAAAATAATGTCACCAATTAATTAATCAATCGGGCAATTAAATATTTTATTAATAACTCAAAGTTTTGAGTAGAGACAGAAAAATTAATATAAAATGATTTCTTTAGAAATAATTCGTTTTGTAATAAGCATTTCGCCAATTTCGCCAGAAGATTTCATGGGCCTAAACCAAAATTTTCTAAATGCTAAATTATGGGTTATCCTGTAAAAAAACTGATCCATGATTTTAAAATTCTCCAGAAATGCATCATGGAAAAATCACGGAAAGATTACAAAGGAAAAGACAACTGTTGCAAATTTATCTAAAATTCAAATAACAAATTAATTTTTTTATGGGATTAGTTGAGTCACGAATTGTATTTTGCGTCATGCATACCAATTGCGACTTAAACCGATATAACTGTATTTCAGAAAATTTATCTAAATCTTAATCTATGTAAATCACAAAATTTTCGAAATTTTCGAGTCGGTCTCAGGTTTGCCTTTAAAACATTCGAATCGAACTCGAAACCGAACCGAAATCTCGGGTCGGCTTCGAGTTAACGCTCAACCCGCCCGAATCCGGTCAGTTCGGAGCTTTATTTGTCAGATAATTATAAGGAACCCATTGAAGATAATGGATATTCCAATACAAGAAGATGGAAGTCTTCAAAAATTATAAAGGTTTATATAAAAGAAAAGAATATTATGGGGAATGTCCAACCTGCAATAGATATGATACTCATTTTGCATGGTTGCAAATATATAATTGGATCTTGAGTTAATCTATAATTTTTAATTATACATGCTTTGTATAATTTTCGAACTAAAAACAAATAAATTATTTTATTACAACAATAATAATAAAATTTAAAAAATCTGAAACTAATATTAACAAAATAATTTACCTCATTAAGAAATTTATCAGAAGTATTCTATGAATTATGTAATGCACAATCCTATCTTCATTAATCCTTTTGCTATTGTTATTATTTACATTTTTCACCAAGTAGCTTTGTATATAGTTGCAAACCTATCTTTTCAATATTTGTTAAATCATTATGAGGAATCCACAAAAGATAATAATATTCATAGTCATACATAGGTGATTCAAATTGTGTACTTTTAATCAATTCATCTAATACTTCATTGTCACTAATCCATCCTTCAGTTAATAGCTTTGATCACATGATCAACATCATGCCCAACAAGTATTATGTCTATTTCAGTTTGAACATTCCCCATATTGTTCCTTTCCTTTAAATATTCATTGTTTTGAAGACTTCCATCTTCCATGTGATGTATATTAAAAAGGTATATTTTTTGTAATGGCATCTTGTGTTAATTCATAAATATGAATTATATATCCTTTTTGAAACTTCACATAATTTTTGAACTAAAATAACAAATAAAATATTTAATTATAACAATAATAATCAATAATATTTTAAAAAATCTGAAATTAGTAATTAATAAAATAATTTACCTCATTAAGAAATTTATCTGTTTTTTAATGCTCACATGCATATCTTTACTAATTCTTTCATTATTATAATTTACGCTTTTATAAACATTTAACTGAGTAGCTTTGGATATAATAGCAAAACCACCTTCACCAATCTTTTCAATTTTGTTAAATCATTATAAGGAATCCATTGAAGATAAAAATTATTATAAAGTGTTGATTTAAATTGTGTACTTTTAATCAACTCATCTAATATTTCATTGCCACTAGTCCATCCTTTGGTTAATAGCTTTGGATCACATGATTGGCACCATACCAGAGCAGTATTGTATCAATTGTAAGTTGGGCATTTCCCATACATTTCTTTTCTAATATATGGATCTTCATAATTTTGAAGACTTTTTATCTTCCATGTAATTAATACATTACAAAATATATTCTTTTGTAGATGGATCTTGTGTTAATCCATAAATATAAATTATGATAAATATGACATAATTTCTGAACTAAAATATATATATTGAATTTCAGAATAATTCTTTAAAAAATCTGAAACTAGTGTTGACAAAATAATTTGCTTCATTAAGAAATTCATCAAAAATATTCTGCGAATTATGCAATCTTTTTAATGCCACAGCCCATCACTAATATTTCTTTTTCCATGATCTTCATATTTCCAATCATTTAGTCAAGTAACTTTGTATATAGTTGCAAACCCACCTTCACCTATCCCTTCAATATTTGTTAAGGAATCCATTGAAGATACTGAAATTTATCACATCTTGTTGCTTTAAGTTGTGTGCTTTTAAATCAACCCATTTAATGTTTCATTGTCACTGGTATATCCTTTAGTTAATAGCTTTGGATTGCATGATTGACACCATGCCCAACTGGTATTATATCTATTGCAGGTTGGACAATCCCATATTCTTTGCTTCTTTCCTTTGAATATTCATTATCATCATTTTTGTCATCATGATGTTTATTTTTTTTTCATCTAGTGTTCTACATCTTTAAAAATTAAAAAAAAATTTTCTTGTTTTTTTTTAGCCACAATTTTATATATATAAGGACTAGTGGAACACAAAATAATATATTTAGATTAACAAATTCTTTGACTTTTCAACACAGACAATTAATTTACATTGATAATTAACTATTTGTAGTTTCATCAATAATACAAATTTTTCTACATCTGAGAAGATTAAATTTTGGAGATGGTAAAAATCTTTTTTTTCTTTATCCATATCAACAGATGAATTAAAATAAAATAGAATGCCTAATTTTCCTAAAAGGGAACACATTAATATAACGTTTTTTATAGTAAATAGTGTTTCGAGCGAAACATAACCCTTTCGCCTAATCTGAATCCGAAACTTGTGCGAAATTAGTTTTCTCGAACAAAAATTTTCGAAAATTGCCTGAAAACCACCTGATATAGGCTGATCGTCAATTAATCCTAAAAAATTAATGACGAATTCATTTATTATGAATAATGATAATGAATTACGTCGTAAATTAAATGATGTGACTTTTGAACACGGACTCGTTTTTTCATTTATTGTTATTATTATCGTAAAAAAATTTTCTTTATCAGAAATTTATCTTCTTTATCCAATTAATGAAATGTTTTTACGTTTAAGATTGCTAAGACCTCTGGTAAATAAACGAGAAATCTTATACCTTTCTTCTTTCATTCGAAAAACACTTATTGTTTATTAGTTTATTAGTTGAAGGGCCATCGTCCCTTGTGACCATTATGTAAATTATCATTCTCTTTCATCAATAAATATAACTTGTCTCCACTTTTTGACGAATTGCCCAATGATCAAAAATAATCAATCGGTGCATTTACTTCAAAATTTGCAAACTTCAATGTGGAATTAACAAAGGATCTAATGCAGGAAAAAGAACAGGAAAAAATGAATTTAACGGAAAAAAAGTCAGGAGAGGTCAAAACTATCAAATAATATTACGAATCTTAAGCATGAGGTCAAATACTGTACTGAACTTCTCTTACGACAAAAAAGGACATGTAATGCGAAAGGTGCTTTAGAGTTCATCAGATCAATGGTAACATTCTGCATATTTGTAGTATATTTTACAATTATTTTGTTTACTCTCTCGATGGATTTAGTCGCAGGACAAGACTATTTCATTTCGTGATCCTACAGACAATGTTTTAATGAAATTGACACAAGACGCAACGTTTGTATCATTTTTAAAGCAAATATGTTAATAATTCTCAATACAAAGATGTCGAAAAATGCATGGGTGATCTCTATCACATTGCATCAAAAATTTGCATGGTCATGACAAGGACATTGAAATTATTGCACGGGACTGGAGCCCAAATAATGCATTAGCGCTGGGTATTCTTTTTCATTACTATAATATTCCGTATTTTTATTACGACGACCGGGGATCTAGCTGAATACCCTTACATTTTGAAAGATAGTTATAATAGAATCCCTTCATAATATTGAATGTTATTTTTTTAAAAAAAATATGTATTCGATGAAAAACCAGCATCACATTATATTAACTTGCTCAATTATGGTGTCTTAGATTGGAAATTTCCCAAGATCAGTTTCTAATAATATTATTGATATGTTTATCCATGCTCTTTTTATGCACCTCTTGTTCCTGCATCTAAATCTCTTACAAGTACTGATTAAAAATTCTATGTCTTTATATCACTCACAAATGTAATTTCAAGAATGAAAGGAAACGGCTAGCAAAGGTCCTAATACTCGAGATCGTACTCCGCCTCACAAAACGATGATTTATATGATTATGATAATTCATCAATCGAAGTTGAACACTTTATTAAAATGTCAATAATCGTCTTTCCAACTACAATAGCGCAAATCTCTCCGAGAACTCTTACTGTAAATAATATTTTTTTAGGTGAATTTTGGGATGAAGTATGCATCACATATTTAGCCATTCTTCTTGGATTGTGACCAGCACTAGTTTTGATGTTCTTTTAGATGGAACCATCAGCTGAAGAGAAGTCAAAAACAGTACGCAAATCAAAATGGGTAAAAAATATATAAAACCTTTTGTTGAAAAGATATGCA